TAACTCCTCAGATCCACCTGATTCATAAAGAATAAGAACATTACCCCAGAGGAGATGACAGTAAACCTATAACATCCTCCCCCTTATGTATGCCTGAGGCAGGCTACGTGAGCTGCCTACTTCTTTTTTTTAAAGTCTATTTCACTCTGGAGCTCTGACTCCCTTCAGAGCCCTTCCAGAGAGGTCTGGGGTCCCCAGAGAGTGTCTCCTGCTGGCCTCTATGAAGAACTTGTTTCTTGGGCCTCCTACAAATAGACCCACCCCTGTAACCCTTCCGGTCTCCAAGAGACCCTTGTACCCTAGGGTACATATAGTATCCACCATTCACCAAGCTAGGACCTATCTATACGTGGTCCCCACGGGAGGCAGCACAGCACATAGAGCCAAGCTTTTGGGATCAGACTGACCCAGAATCAAAACCAGGCACGGGCACCTACTAACTCTGTGACACTGAGTAAATTGCTTGACCTTTCTGAGCTCGTATCCCATTAAATAATAGTATCTATTCGGAACCCAAAAGATTTTTATATTATTTCTGAAATACTTACACACAATTTACTAAGTGATTATCAAGTATCAACGTAGTTAATTCTAACAAGCCTTTCCTGTAGGTACTATGATTATCTTCATTTTATAGAGGAGGCCATTCAGCACAGAGAGGTTTAGGTACAGTCACTTGCTCAGGGTCACACAGCTAATCCGTGGCAGAGGTACGATTTGAACGCAGGCATCTGGCTACTGAATTCTTGTTCTTAACCACCATCCCAACCGATTTCTCAGAGCCAAACAAGGAAGTATTTTTTATACTTTTGTTATGATGGAAATTTTCAAACACAAAAGTCGTGAGAATCCCTTGTCCCCAGCACTCCGCTGAAACAGGTATCAACATCCCACTGTTGTAAACAAAGAGGTTTTTAATTTGTATTTTCCTTAAGTTGCAATAAAAAATATTTGTGTTGTTCTTTTTGATCTTGCTTAAGTCACTGGCTAAATTTAGGTAATTTCCTCTGGTTTCCTTGCACAATCATAAAAACAAGACGGCGGGTTCTTATTTTCGTCCAGGGCTTTTACAATGACATTTGGATGTCACGTGGTACAGTTTCATCAGTACATTGACTCCGTTATTCCATTGAATTTTTCAGGAAACTTTTTAGACAAGCGGTCAGATGGCTGTGATCCCCGTTTTACAAAAGCGTCCAATGAAGCCCAGAGAGCTTAAGGAATTGAGCCACGTCACATTCCTAGTAAGCGGAGGAGGATATTGAAAAACAAGCTGATTTTTAAAAAAAATATATTTTATTGATTTTTTACAGAGAGGAAGGGAGAGAGAGAGTTAGAAACATCGATGAGAGAGAAACATCGACCAGCTGCCTACTGCACATCTCCTACTGGGGATGTGCCCGCAGCCCAGGTACATGCCCTTGACCGGAATCGAACCTGGGACCTTTCAGCCCGCAGGCTGACGCTCTATCCACTGAGCCAAAACGGTTTTGGCAACAAGCTGATTTTTAACGTTTTCAATTGACGTATTCTCTGGACATTAATATAGAGCAGAAAAGTAGCGGTCTCTGGAACTTGATAGGTGTCAGCCACTCTTCTCACGTACGGTCTTACACAGACAACTCTCTGAGTCTTCCACTCCTCGTCATTAAAATGGACAAGTAATACATCACATCACAGGTTTATTGCAATGATTATACTTTTAATTATTATATTATGTTAAATATTAATTATAAATATATAATGTGTGTAACCTAATATATATGCATATAATCAACATAAATGCATGTGTAAGAGTGTGTGCATGTGTGTGTATATCACCCATACCATGACAATACCCCCGCACATGCTCATTAAAATCACTTCCTTCCCTTCGAGATGAGCTCAGTCTGGAGAAAATCTCCCCAAACCTTTTCAGCATTAAGATCTTGACCACAGTCCGTGTACGCTTTCATTCTTCCCCCAATTTTTTACTTCTTTGGGGCTCAGTTGCCCCATTGCACTGCGGATGTCCCAGTAGTTTTATCAATGACATTCTTTACCTCTTTGGAAAATCTGAGTCAAATCTCCATGATTTCATTTGAATCTTGTTTCCTCTTGAAAGCCACTTAGAGATTTATATGCTTTCACAAAAAGAATCATTGGTCTCTGATCACCAAATAAAAGAACACACCACAAAATTTGCTCCCCGCCCCCCAGGAGGCCTTTTCTAAGTCAAATAAACACACCCATGGCTTTGCATTTTCCTTCCATGTTTATCAATAGAGTTTATTAGGATCATCATAGATGATTCATTTCTAGTTCAAGTCTCTTAGACTTTAACAGCGAAGGAACATTTTGTCTTTGGTGACTGGAAACGTCATCTCCTCTGTTTCTGTCCTCATGTTTGCACTTAAGCTACTCTCTTAAATCAGTAAAATCATCAAGTGACTTTAAAAAAAGAAATTCAAGAAAAACAGCTCTTTTTACTTGCTCCATTCCATGAGGAAAGTTCCCTACTTTGGAATGGATGGCACAGGGTCCAGGGCAGGTTGGCACTCAATATATTGTTGAATGAATGACATCATCTGAGCATTAATGAAGTCTATGAATTACTACTTTTTCAAGAAATCTGTGACCATTCTTTTCCATACATATGTGAGCTCATAGTTGTTTTCAAGTAGTAATCATTTGGAAACTTGTTTAGTGAACAGGGAGTAATAATGTTTAATGGACATATTGATCATCTTATGCAAATAGATATTTTTAAGTAGAAGAAAACATGTACTATTTTAGTGTGAATCTCTCTGTGTCTCTCACACACAATTCTAGAACACACCTGGAGCTCAGGTGAGTTTACCTGGGAGAAAAATAAAGTCATCAGAGTTGAGACTCTTGGTAGGACGATTATAGAAATAGAATATATAACTCCCCAAAGTGTAGATGGACGGAGTAAGTAGATGAAAGAAGGTATAGTTCACTGAAAAAAATCAGGAATAAGGGTGGGAGGGCAAAGAAAAGGTATAATAATTAGAAAAAGTAATATGCCAGACATTGGTACAAGTAGATGTTAGTCAGGATAAAGATACGTAGTTTATACTAGAAAAATACTGATCAAAATAAAGATGTTCTAATCATGTAAGTATCAAATAGAATAGACTTTAAAAGAAAAAATTATTATTTAGGAACAAGGAAGGCTCTCACATACTGTATCAGAAAAGCATAAGCACCTAAAGGCCACGAATATCAGCAATATAGCCTTAAAATATTAGGTTGAGCCACATAAAATCGTCAGTATTTGACTGCCCTCCAAAAGCAGTAATTGCATATAAAGTGAAAGTCGATAGAGTTATGAAAAATTAAATTTCGTGAAGTGTTACTTTAACATGCATCTGGTACAAACTGGTTGATCAAGTGACCAAATAATTAGTAATGAGCAATATTTGAGCAACATGATTAAGACGCTTTATAAAATCCACATATTTAGAATTTTATCTCAGCTCTTAAATAATCTGCATTCTTTTCCAGAAACATTTCAAAACTTGAACACATACTAGGCCATAAAGGATACCTCAGTAAATATCAAAGAAGTGACACAACATATGGATTATATGCTTTGACCCTCAATACAATAAAATGAGAACTCAACACCCTCCTCCCAAAATAGCCCAAAATACTTTTGTATATTTGGAAACTAAAAATGGTTCTAAACCATTCATAAGTCATGATAGAAATTAGAAATGATGCCAACCTGGTTTATCATGATCTGATTTCCCCATATTATTCAGTCAGTGTAATTTAACATCTGGTAATGCCAGGCAAACTAATATTGCGGACTTCAGGAACAAAACAAAAAAAACCTGAGTTTTCAGTGGGGAAAAAAAACTGTACAGTGGGGCCTTGACTTAGAAGTTTAATTCGTTCCGTGACGGAGCTCGTAACTCAAATTACTTGTATGTCAAATCAAGAAGTGAACGAGTGAGACACATGATGCTGGGCTGATGTTGTGGTGTTCACTGTGACGTTCGCTGCGCCAACTAGTAGGGGGGTATCTGAAGCTGGCTCGTAACCCGAATTTTAGCTCGCAACTCAAAGCAAAAAATCGGCCGAGAGACGGCTCGTATCTTGAAAAACTCGTTAGTCGGGACACTCGTAAGTCAAGGCCCCACTGTAAAGTCTTATTTTACCTATTTGCCCATAAATTTTGTGTCTGAATTTTATTCAGTATCCTCTCCATTTTCTTCCCCAGGCCTCATCTCAGAAGTGCCCCCTCTCTCTTCACCGTTGGAAAGCCCACGGGCGCATTGCCACCCGGGTGGAGTGCTTCTCATGTGGCCCCAAGGCCCGCACCATCCAAGGCTCTTCTGAAAACACCTGCACACCGTGGGCTACTGAGGGAACCGCCCTGGGTATGTGGGGAGATGACAGACTGGCCCCTCACAATACCAGCTGCTTTCATTTCCCATGGTAGGTCTCGCAGTCCATAATATCACACCTCAGTTAGCCCTGGCAGGTGGTCTTGTTGCACCAGGGCACCTCGCTACTCATGGATGTGGGTGGGTGTGACCCGGTCTCTTTAGAGTTCCAGGTACATGGATCAAGCACCTGCTGAGAACAGCATCTACTGCCCAATCGAGAGCAATACACGTCTGAGCAGGGGAATGTGTTTTCCTTCACTGCTCACTTCCCAGGCCAGGTAAAACACTTTCTCACAATGCCACGGGCATTAGAACCCGGAGGGCAGGGGGGCGGAATATGCAGAGGTGAGCCAAGCTAAAATCCCTTCTTTAGGACTTCAGTGAGAAAGACCTAGGGATTCCATCTGCAACATTCTCCCAAGAATATCACAATGTCAATGTTCCAAAGAAGTCTAGGGCCCCCCGGATCGAGGTCTCGGATACCAGAGAAAGGATGGAGAGGCAGGCCCACGAGTCCTGGGGTTTTGTATACGGGCCAAGGCTCCGAAGTAGGAAACCAAGCGAAATCCTGTCAGCGCTGTTGAATCGGAACAGCATCCAAGAATGTCCCATTTCACGCACCGGAAGGTCTCCCAAGTAAGCAAAACCTTGAAGCGCTATGACACTGTCAGGTAATCAGCTCATCTCTCTTTTCCTCTCTGTGACCCGGGACACACTCTGAATGTAGTAGCGCCGTCTTTCTGAGTCAGAGGCGTGGGCCAATCTGTCAGCCAGTATTTTAATAACGTGGATAAGGAAACCATAAAAAAAAAAATAGGCGCACGTCCTTGCCGTAGGGGAGAGGGCATATGGATTTTTTTCTTTCCGTATGAATTTCCTTCCATGTCATTGTATTAGAAATAATGTAATGGGTAAAAGTAATCGTTGGATTAGACGAGATTCATCCACCACCCAGATCTGACCCTGCGGTTCAAAGGGAAAAGTCGACCTCGGGAGGAAGTCAGGGAGAGGCCCCAGCCTTTACGCAGACCACTCGGAGAGGCTGAGAAAAGCGAGACTCCCTTCTCGGTATTCTCTTGTTCTGGAGCCCCCTGGCCCTCTCCTGTCAGAGAAAAGGAAAAATCACCCATTCGGGGTAACTTCCTCTGCTCTTGTTGGAAACATTTCACTTTGAGCGGAACTCAGCCTCATTCAGGTAAAGACCCAGTCAACTCAAAGCTGTTTCTCCCCTCTCTCAAGGGGTCACTGGTCCCCTCCTCCCTCCCAACATGGTATCTGGGTGTGGAGGAAGTTGAAATACCCTTGGGGCAGGGGGCCTTCGCTACAAGCTGGCCTTGTGCTTAAAGGTCCCGGGCTGTTGTTTACGCAGGTGTGGCTAATCTCACTGTCCTCCTTGAGCATCCTGCTGGCATCTCCTGGCAGATCCTAAAGTTTCTGTGCCCCCTGAAATCATCCGGTCCCCGTGCTTTGAGGCCCTTGGCTTCGTTGCCCTGGCCACAGGTCTATGCCAGACACTGCTGCCTTCAACACCTTGGGGGCCTCTAACCAAAGCAGACAGGGGGCTCTGGGCCCTGAGAAACCCTCGACTCTGGCTGTTCCGCCACCTCCAAACCTTGGGACGCACAGTGGAAGCAGAGAATGAGCCAGGATGCGCTGACTCTCCCCCAGCCTCTGGGCTTCCTGGGCCGGTTTCTGACGCCTCATCAGCCCCCTGCCCCAGTTTTGCTTAAGCCTGGTGGGGCAGTGGTCACTTCTCAGTGACCTAGCTGAGATGCTCAATGCTGGCTCTACCCTGGCAGAGGTGCCCTCCCATCTCCCGTGGCAATGCTTTCGACTTCCTCTTCCGGTCTGGTAGACATCTCTCCAAGTCACTTCCTCTGCCTGCTCAGCACCAGGGTTTTGATCCTGCTTGATCTAGCCTGGCTCTCTCTATGTTCAAGGAAACCTCTAGAAATGTAGAGAGTCCCCTCTCTCTTCACAAAGCCTGACTTGCACCTCGCTGTGGATTCGACATGCCACCTTGAGACTGGGACCTGCATCTGAGTCACCACTGCTGGGGGCCGCCCGGAATGGTGGGGGCCCTGTGCCACCTGACAGGCTTGTAATCCACACTGCAGAGGGAAGGTCTCCAGCTTTTAATTTAATTGTTCAATTGAACATTTTCATTCACTTTAAACCATGCGTCAGTTGAAGTGAGCACACCAGGAGCTTCCAGTTTGCAACCTTTGCTAGAAACCCCACCCCAGCACCCCAGCACCGTCTACCCTTGGCTGTGAAGTCTGTCCCCAGCCTTTACAGGGTTACGATCCAGAATGTGTTTCCTGTCAAACAGACAACCATAATGTTTGTAAGTTTAGGAAGAGTGACAGGATGGACTGTGCGTGGATACCAGCATGAATGAGATAGCAAGCAAAGACCTTCACCTGTGTGGTGTCGCTTCGTCTCCACAACAGCCTGCAATTTACATGTAGACCCTTATCCGCGCTCTCAGATGCAGTTACCTGGTTCAGGGACGGCAAGTCCCGAGCCTGAAGCCACAAAACAGAAACCAGCAGCGCTAAGGAGTCGGCTCAGGCATCTCTGACCGCAACACTTCAGCTCTATCAAAAGTAGACGGCTTCCCCCTGACAGCCCTGAGGCTCTCTGCGTGCAAACCAGAAACCCACCGGACACTGTCCTTCCACGTCAGCTACTGGTGACAACCTCGAGATAATGCAGTTTGCGTTGCAGGCAAATTCACGCACCGCCCAAGTATTATGCTTCCTACAAGCACCCCGGGCACCTGCAGACACCAAACAGGAGGAGATAAGCCAGTGATGGCGAACCTATGACACATGTGTCAGGGGTGACACCCGGACTCATTTTTTGGTTGATTTTTCTTTGTTAAATGGCATTTAAATATATAAAATAAATATCAAAAATATACATCTTTGTTTTACCATAGTTACAAATATCAAAAAATTTCTATATGTGACCCAGCACCAGAGTTAAGTTAGGGTTTTTCAAAATGCTGACATGCCGAGATCAAAAGGAGGGTTTTTCAAAATGCTGATACGCCGAGCTCAAAAGGTTTGCCTCACTGAGATAAGCAAAGTAAAGAGAGGGCGTGCGTGCGCTCGAAAGAGGCAGGCTGGTAGAAAAGTCAACAGAATCGGCTGAGAATGAACGGGGAGGCAGACTCGGCTGAGGAAATGCTAAGAGGTGTCTCCTTTCATTTCTTTTTTCCCCCCATCATATCTGATTTACAGAGAAATGTCACTTTCAGAGCGGCTTTTTAAAAAATGGGTTCCACTTGCTGAAACTCACAGGACAATGTTAAATCAGTAGATGGTAGCCTCCCCTAGGCATGTCTTGTGAGGCCCATGTACTTCCTCCTCTCTCTGCATCATAATTCTCGTCCTCCTTTCCAAAAGTTTCCGACATCCCTCTCAGCACACGCAGTGCTCAGACTCCCTGCACCCATATCTCATCGAGCAATTTTATTCCGATGCAGGAATAAAGTCCCGTTGGACAGGATGCTGCAAAGGAAAGAACCCATGCTTACGTATTCCCCTAGGCTCTGTCAGTCACTGGATTTACTGCCAGCCCTTAAATCATCTCTGATTCTCAGCTTGTGTCTCGCTCCATCTCATGTTCTTCCAACTGTTCCTATCATGACTTCTACACTTAAAACAATAAATTAAAAGTGAGTCTTTTCTGAACAACCTAAACTGATGAACAAAAATAGAACCAGTGACATAGAAGCATCGAACAGACTGTCCAACCGATGAGGGAAGGCAGGGGAGGAGGATGGTGGTCAGAGATCAAAGGACTTGTATGCATGCATATGAGCATAATTAAGTGAAAAATAATAAATAAACAAAAGTGAGCCTTTTCAAGAGGCTTATTGCCAAGGGACTTCTTTGTTTCTACATGGAAGCAGCGGGTGTCCCCAATTAACAAGTTCGAAATGGACTCTCACCCCCCACCTTCCCACACAACAGCTGTTCCTCTCCCGAAGCCCCCATCACTCTGAGCAGCACCATCCTCCGCCCTCTTGTTCAGGTCAGAACACCAGCAGGTCTCTTGAGTCTTCCTTTTCCTTGTCCCCTCTAGCCAACCCATCAGCAAGTCTTGTCCAGGGCAGGCGACCATTACCTCTCACCTGGATGAAAGCAACCACTCCCCCGCCCCCTCCCTGCTCCTCCCTCCTCCCTCTCCAGCCTGTTTTTCATAGATTAACCAGCCTAATCCTCATAAAATGCAAATCCAATCATGGCATCCCCCCTGGCTTCCCATTGCTTTGAGAATAAAAATCTGAAATCCTGAACATTTCCTATGAGGCTGTGCCCGACCTCACTCCGGTCTCTCTCCAGCCTCCTCCCATGGCTCTCTCTCTCCCCTCTCCTCTCACCACTCTGGCTTGTTTTCTCCTTATTTATTACAAGCCCTTGAGTGTCTCAAAGCCTTTACAATTGCTGTTTCCTCTGCCTGGAATACTCATCTTCCAGATTCTATTTGAATGGTTTCTTCTTATCCTTCAGGTCTTAGCTCCTAATTCTTTTGGCCAAGAACTTTTCTGACTACCCCATCCTTGATAGATACTCACTCTGTCTCCCTTGTTTATTTCCCTTCATAAACTACAATGGCTTCACTTATATATTTACTAATGAACTATGTTGTTCCCACTCTAGCACCCAACAGAGAGCCTGAGGCATCACAGAACAGAAAATGAGTGTTGAATGAGCAGAGCCCACAGACACCATCCTACAGCTCCAATAAAGCACACAGCAGAGTCCAAGCGAGGGAAATGTCACTGCCTGATTGTGAAAGCAAACAGCTAGTTAAACTTACAAAAACATGCTTTCTGTTAAAATCACAGAAGATATTTTCTAACTCATTATGCTGAGCTGGGGAGCAACATGCAAAGATAATAAACACATTTAATTTGAAACAGGTGGCAATCTGGTCAGTTCCCCACTGGTTGCTTGACTTGGGGCCCTTTGAAAGCATTCTTGTCTCTTTGACGTCTTCTGAGTATCATTTTTACGGGCCAGAATGGGCTCCGGTGGTGGTCACCCCAGCTTCCCAGCAGTCACTTGAAGACCCTATTCATCTTGACAAGACAAAGCTTACCTGAGCAAATGAGTCCTTGGGCCCACACTCATTTGCATATCTGTCTGGGTCTGGGACATGATTCTTCTTAGCTACAACTTTAAACACAAGCAACCCTAACCCTAATCCAATCAGCTGAAGAGTTTTGTTTTTCTAAAAAACTACCCAGCACACAGAGTGCTTAAGATGGATCTTCTGAGAAGAGCAAGTAGGGACACTGTTATTTCTAAATACTTAATTGTTCTTTTCAAATTCTCACCTTTAGGATGCTGGTTTTCAGATTAAGTTTCTTTGGCTTTCAGGGGGGAAAAATAAACCCTCACTAGATGTTACAACTTGGTGTTTCTGCAGATGGGCTGACTGATGCCAAAACAAAATCATCTCCTGCTCTCTGAGCCCTTACTGTAGCAGAATATTTTTAATGAACCCCAGATGCAACCTTCATGGGTATAGAAACCCTTGAGTGTCTGCTCCTGAGTCTGCTCATCACTGTAGATCTGGGCTGATTAAACATGTCTCCCAATTCCAACTCTCCCTTCCACATGGTTAATATTTGGAATCTACTGTCTTTTGTTTCCCTCTACCTTCACCTAATACTTTGTCATCCATCCATCCATTCAATATGAATTGAACCAGACACAGTCCTGCATTCTAGGGATACACTGGTGAACAAGATCCCGTTTATGACCTCGTGGAACATAAAATCTAATAGTGTATATAGGCATGAAGATGGACTGTTTATTGCACAACTGTTCATTCCTAGATAGAGATACTGTATGTTAAAGGTGATAGAGCTGGTGGGAGGGCAAGTCTACATCTAAGAGTGAGAGTTGAGGGGTATCGTGGACAGCACTGTAAAGTATCACATAGGAGTTCGCCAGGAGGAAAGGGGTGCAGAGGAAAGTGGTACATTCCAGGTGGAAGGACAAACACAAACCAAGTCACGGAAGCCTGAGAGCCCACAGCATGTCCCGAGCACTGGGGTGGTTCTGCTGGTGAAACAGCACTAGGGGAGGCGTGGAAGAGAGAATGGAGGAGTGAGTAGGGTCAGATCAGGAAGAACCTTCTGGGTCTCACCAACTGGGGTGACTTGGATTTTTGAGAGCAGAGAACTGTTTAATATGTATAGTAAATGTATAGTAAACATAATTGTCATGATGGGAAATGGAAAAAAAAGGAACAGAAAACACAATTTGACCTGCAGTACATTAATCCTATCCCATAAAGATGATATACTAGTTCTTAGATATTTCTGACCTGCAGTGTTTCATACCTATAAGAACTGTCTTCTTTCTAATATATATGTGTATGTCTGTTTGTGTGTCTGTGTGTGTGTGTGCATGCATGCACATGTGTTTAATTCTTTGGTGTTATCACTGGAAGCATTATATATAGAACACCTGTTCTTCATGTGTCCTGCTGCTTGGGAGACATTCCCACCCTTTGTCATTATGACTATCTATATATAGAAATGCTTAAGCTACTGTCTGACCGCCTGACCATCCGACTGTCTGACTGTCTGGTAGCTATGATGTGCCATGATCACCAGGGGACAGACGCTCAATGCACAGGCATGGAAACATGGAACAGACTGATGAATCTCAGAGGGAAGTGGGGAGGGGAGAGGGCGGGAAGAGATTAACCAAAGATCTTATATATGAGTACTAGAGGCTCGGTGCATGGATTCATGCACCAGGGCCTCTAGTATGCAAATAAGCAAAAATAAGCTGAAAGCATCCATTTCTTTTCCTTTCAGATTAAATACATGTTCATTAAGCTGGGGGTCCCACTTCAGCTCCTTCCTCTTCTGACCACTTGTGGGGCCACTCCCATGGGGCTGCTGCATCACTCAACACATCACACCTGATGGTGTGGTTTTTTAATTTTATTGTTTTATGTCTAGAGTTCCCCATGAGAGGAAGAAAGAGAACAAGAAGCATGAAGAGCCGCCTGAAGGCCCGGCCCAGCCTCCTGGTCAGCTGCTGGAGAACGGCGAGGGTGTCCATATCCTTGGGGACAAAACAGAGGACACAGGAGGTGACCAGTCTACTGAGGAAGGCCCTCCTCTCAGCAAAACAGAAGCACGAAAAGATGCCAAAGGTAGGGCCAGGCCAGGGCTAGGGACCCAGTCCTGGTGCACCTGCTGGCATCCTCCGGTTTTATGAAACGGGGTCCTGGAGTAGGAGCCTGCTGGGCCGGGGGCAGAGCAGATGTGAGAGGAAACAATTAAAGTTGTAAACAGCAGCTCTGCAGAGCTACTGCTGTTTATGGCAACTCCGGGCTCAAAAGCTCTCATTTCCAGATTTAAGTATTATCTGGTTTTGGGCCAAAGAGAACCGCTCCCAATGAAGCCAAAGGCTGTGCGTGTCAATGAGCGGAATAGCCACACACTAGGGCCTGGGTCCCTGAGGGTCAGCCTCGTCTTTTCCATGAATCTGACTCTTGGAAGGAACAGCAAGCGCTCCATCTCCAAGGGGATGGCTTGCCTTTGGCCGAGGGCCCACAAAGCCTTACCCCATCCATTGCCTTTATTTGTGTAGAGTCGGGCCCTTCCATGTTGGCCTCAGTCTCTAAGCTCAGCAAAGCACACACCTGAGCCCCGGGCACATCCCTTGAAGGCAGGGACCAGCCACCAGCCAATGAGGTATCTCAAGTAGGAGGAACAAATCGCACCCTTGCCAGCGGCTCCCAAAGCTCTCATTTACCGACCGTGAGTTAGACTAGGGAGCAGCCTGTATTGTTTGCGCCCAGAGAGCTGGGGAAGGTGCAGAGGCTGCACATGCTTGCCTTTCCATCTGTGCCTCCAGCTAAAGAAATCAAACCTTCGGGAAATACATCTACGTTTCTGCGAAGTGTGCCTTGCTGATCGAGGAGGGAAAAGCCAGAAAGTGTTTCTTAGGTGAAAAGGTATCTTTAAGCCTCATTTGTTAACCGGCAGATGCAGCTCTTTCTGGTCATTAGCATAGACCTATCACTCCAAGTGTTAAACGCAGTGACAAATTGCAGTTGCCAAAGGGGATACATCAATTCTCCTAATTACCTTTAGAGTCCCATTCACAGAATCAGAAAGGGTGTCTAGTTACATCGACGCTGCTCACTTTTTTGAAAATCAGTTTCAATTCCCTCATAGTCGTCTTGGTTTTAGTCACATTCAGACCAATGAAAGCTGTGACGACGTAAACCAGGTAAGACCGAGGTTGGAAAATGGGTCTTTTGCAAAGCCTGGTCTTACTCCCCAGGAAACCAGTGATTATGGAGAATTGCAGGGTAAGAAAAGATGCAGCAAAAGTAGGAGAGAGAGGGGAGCGGGGGAGAGACCCTTTATCTTAGTGAAGTCAGTGCAAAGTCTTCGTTGCACATGGAGTTCAGAATGAGCGTCAACTTGGGAGAAACTGCCTCCCAGCTCAGACACTTTCTGAGGCTCTGCCCATGACTGACAGCTGTTGCAGACTCCCCCACAGTTATATGGATCCCCCCTCACTCTCCCAGACTTCCCAATGTATAGTCCTCTCCACTTCTGTTTAGAAGTCAAAGCCCCCCCCGCCCCCGCTTAGTTACCTTAGTTTCCTGAAGCAACCATTTACACAAAGGCAGCTAAGTGACAAGAACTGCAGAGAGTGTGAGGACACAGAAATGGAGTCGTCTGTTCATTCCGTGACTGTTGAGCACCCACTCTGTGCCAGGCACTGTTCCAGGTGCTGAAAATGCCTCGGTGGATGACACTGATGAAGAAGATCAAAGAGACTCATGCAGGGAATGAATCCAGGCGCCCATTCCATTCCCCAACTGGTCTCCAGCCTCAGAGCGCCATGCTGGGGGAGGGTGAACTGGAGCACCGCCCCCCTCCCCCACTTATGGTCCAGTCTGGGCCAAATCAATACCTGGGGATGTCCGTGCTGGCTCCCCGAGAGGGCAGGGCTGTGGGAGCCTGCAGCTCCGAATCCACAGTCTGCACCCAAGTGAGCTCATCTGGTTCTTATTTTCCTCCCACTTGAAAATGATTAGCATTTTCTTCCAGCTGGGGGGGGGGGGTGGTTCCTACCCACTTCTGACCCCGAAAGGCTCAGGAAATTACAAAGCAAGTTTTCCAACAGATGCTTTGACCAGCGTCAGACGGTCCTACACAGCTGCCAAGTTGCTCTCGCTACATCTTGTAGGCCTGGCACGTTACGTCATAGGCGGCCTGAGTGGGTGGCCTGCTTGCTTGTGGAATGCCCAGCTGCCCTAGGCGGTTGGCCCTCGGTGCCCAAGGAGACCCCTGAACCCACAGAGCTTGTGCTGGGCAAGAGATCCTGGCAGGAAAGATCCATGCACATAAGATGTAAAGATTGGCAGTGGAGTGGTGTGTGTGTGTGTGTGTGTGTGTGATGTCTGATTTTATTAAACAGTTGAGAAATGTTATAATGAAAGGAGATGAGAGAGAGAGAGAGGGATTGATCTTCAGAAATATTCAAAAAGAAATGGGCTACCACAGCAATTTTTGGACTCTCTGTGCAGGGAATAGCAGGGTGACTGTATTGGAAGAACCTCCTGCCACTCCCCAACCAGAAAGCCACATGTTGCACGAAATGTGAACCACAGCCCTTGCCTATCACCCGCCTCTGCTCCAGGGTATCTGGGGAGACTTGGGAGATTGCAGATCAAAGGGAGCATTTGCTCCAATTTGTCAGAGGCAGGAAAACATATCACTGAGACCAATATGAGTAACCGAGCATCCTGCCTACCTGTGGTCACCGCGATTGGATGGGTGAGCCCTGCATGACTTCGTGTTTTTGTTTCTTCTGAAAAGAACAAATGACTGAAAAGGAAGGAGAGTCATAGAGCAAAGGCTCAGGAAGAATGCGGTGTGGCTCTGTGCATCTCATCCCAGATCTTAGTGCCTTGGTTTTTTTGTTTTGTTTTGTTTTCCTTTTGCAAGATGGAGCTCATCTGACTCAGAGCATCGAAGAATCACACGTTAGGAGAGATCTTAAAGGCTGTAGTCTGGCCACTGCGGTCTGACACATAGTAGGTACTAAATAATGCTTGCGTTCACCAATGGTGAAGTCATTGAGAGAAGGAAGCAGCCTGGGAGTGTATGCTGGCAGCCCTGTGCAACATTCCTGCAAAGGGTAGTTCAATCACGTGTAAATATCACCCGCGATGGACCACCTGCCCCCACCCCTACTGCGGATCCCTGGCCAAGTCCTTCAGCTTCTCTGTACCAGGACTCCCTCACGGGTGTGTAAGTGAGCTATTGCCATGTGTCCAGTGATCACAAACGTAGCAGCTTAAAACAATACCTGCTTTTATCTCACTTTCTGTCGGTTAGGGGTCTGGGCACAGCTTAGCGGGGTCCTCTGCTCAGGGTCTTATCCGAGGCTCAGGGTCATTGACAGGATCCATTTACTTGCAGCAGTAGGACTGACAGTGGCTTTCTCCGCCTGGGTGGCCCAGTGGGTTGGAGCATCATCCCGTACACTGAAAGGTTGTGGGTTTGATTCCCGGTCAGGGCACATACCTAGGTTGTGGGTTCAATCCCCAGTAAGGTACATGGGGGCAGGGGGAGGGGGAGAAGGACAACCGATTGATGTTTCTCTCTCACACTGATTTTTCTGTCTCTCTATCTCTCTCCCTTCCTCTCTCTAAAATTAACAAAAACATATTCTCAGGTGAGGATTTTTTTTTTTTAAAAAAAAGCAAGGCCAGCAAGAATTGAGTATAACTTCTCAACCCTCTTTTAAAGGGCTCACCTAATGAGGTCAGGCCCACTCAAGATAAGTTCCCTTTTTATTAATCTAAAGTCAACTGATTAGAGACCTTAATTACACCTGCAGAATTCCTTCATCTTTGCCATAATGTAACATAATCAGGAGTCATATCCATATTCATAGGTCCTACCCACACTCAAGCAGAGAAGATAATACAGAAAAGGCATAATTGGGGAGGAATCTTGGGGCCACCTTAGAATGCTGCCTACCACACCCCGTCCTGGAGATACTGAGGGGACCCGTCTCATATGGTTGCTCTGGAGACTAATGAGATAGTGACTGTGACAGGACATGACCAGCCGGCAGCAGCTGCTATAATTATTTTAGCATTTTTGAGCATCTGTTCCATGGCAGGCCCCATTGTAGGAGCTGGGGATTCGGAACATAATAACGCCAACATTGCTCTGAAGGAAATCATGGCATTTCCCTAACACTCATGTTCCCTCGCCCCCACCCCATGCGGAAGTTGGCAAACAGCCATAAAGCTTTACTCCATCTAAATGACTGTTGGATACAAAGGCTCAGAGTTTTCTCAGCCTGTGAAAGCCATGGTCAGAAAGAAAAAGTGCTGACTTCAATCAAATACTGTCATCCACGGGATTATCATTTCCACCCTCAGGAGCCGCCGGCTTAGGCCGCTGACTGCGCAGATGGACTGGAACTCTCGCCTGGTGGTTCTTGGCCGCGGCTGCACACATTTGAGTCACCCCAGGGTTTGGCAGCTCCCATCTGCCACAGCTCGCATACCTTTGGCCTGGGGCGTGTCCTTGCATTGGAATTGTTTTTAAGCCCCTCACCCCAGGAGTCGCCAACACTCCACCGGGGATGAGAGCTGCTGCCCGGGCTGAAGTGTGAATGGTCTGGAAGCTAAATTCCCCTTAAAGCAGTGGTTCTCAACCTTCCTAATGCCGCGACCCTTTAATGCAGTTCTTCATGTCGTGGTGACCCCCAACCATAAAATTATTTTCGTTGCTGCTTCATAACTGTAATTTTGCTACTGTTATGAATTGTCATGTAAATATCTGATATGCAGGATGTATTTTCATTGTTACAAATTGAACATAATTAAAGCATAGTGATTAATCACAAAAACAATATGTAATTATATATGTGTTTTCTGATGGTCTTAGGCGACCCCTGTGAAAGGGTTGTTCGACCCCCAAAGGGGTCGCGACCCACAGGTTGAGAACCGCCGCCTTAAAGAGAAACTGCTGAGAACATGACATGCCAAAGAGACATGAGCGGCAATAAAGCACTTTTTCATTGGCTCCCAGCAAAGATATTGAAATTTACCACACATCACACCTTTTCAAGCCACTCTGCTATTAAATATACATATATTTTATTGATTTCAGAGAGGGAGAGGAAGAAACATCAAAGGTGAGAGAGAACCATTGATTGGCTGCCTCTTGCATGCCCCACACTGGGGATCAAGCCTGCAACTCGGGCATATGCCCTTGACCAGAATCGAACCCAGGACCCTTCACTCCACAGGCCGACGCTCTATCCACTGAGCCAAACCGCTCGGGCCCCTCTGGCAGACAGCTCACCTACTAGCTGGGATAGCGTTGGGAAAAGCTTAAAAAGCCCACCTTGCCCAGAAAGCTGCTGGTGCCGGCTTGCTGTCTGCTTGCTCATGCAATGCGTACTCCGCCACCTACATGTATGAAGCACCCGCTGTGTGCCAAGCTTCATGCCGGGTGCGGGGATTCAAAGATCTGTAGGACCCAAACCCTGCCTCCCAGACCTCGGCATCCAACGCCGAAGATGCGCCCTGAGGATGGAGAGCATGGAGCTCGTTGTTAGGTTACGAATGCTCATTTTCAAAACTTCCTCAGTCTTCTCTGACCCTGTGTATTTCCCTTCAGGGTTGAATCGCTTCCAGAGCGCAGCCTCTTTCCAACAGCCCTTCCTGCTTCCCCTCTGCCAGCATCCCTCCCAAAGAAAAATTACTACCAAAGATAAGAACTGAAAAATGGCCCAAATGCTCTCATGATTTCACAAGGAAAAGGAGCAACAGGAAGTGGCAGCCTCATCCTCCCCGGCCCTGTAACCTCCAGGTCCTTCTCGGGTACCGAGGAGCGCCCCTCCTGAGCTGGGTGGACGCGGGCCCCTTCTCCTGCCAGCTGGTCCTGGAGGAGCGGTGGCCAGTGCAGCATTAAGCAGACGCGATGGACCGGGAGGCTCTGGCAGAGCCCACGAAAGCTGCGTTCCTCGGGGAAGGTAGCACTGAGCCAGCGGCAGCTGTGCCAGACAGAAGGCCATGTGCCGTCCGCTGTGGTCACATGAAGACTGGACGTGGTTCACCTCCGGGCTGAAGGGGAACTCTGCCCCCAGAACATCACAGGCTCCTCCAAAGCCCCAAGACACAACCCGAGACAGTGCAGCTGGAAGGAAACCAAAGCTCCTGTTCAGACAAAATCTTCTCCAGCACCCCCGCCCCCTCTCCTCTGTGTCACACGCATTGACCGAGAGTCTGCCATGTTCAGGACATTGTGCGAGGCTGTGCTAGCCGCCGCCACCCCTCCCACCAGGGGAGGCTTTTACAATGTCAGCGTACCTCAAAGAGTAAGTGGGCTGACCCCACAAAGTCATTTTTTAACATATATTTTTATGGATTTCAGAGAGGGAAGGAGAGGGAGAGAGAGAGAAATGTTAATGATGAGAGAGAATCATTGATCAGCTGCTTCCTTCATGCCTCACACTGGGGATGGAGCCCTCCACCCTGGCATGTCCCCTGACTGGGAATCGAACCTGACCTCCTTGTTTGTAGGTTGTCGCTCAGCCACTGAGCCACGTCAGCTGGGGACACAGTCATTCTGAGTTGTGTTTTTATACCTCCTCTGACATCCTGGGGAGAGGGCTGAGCCGGGCTCACGCACTCTGTTTGAATTCCTCCAGAAGAGCAGTGCTTCACTTCCGGCCTTGGGAGCTTCCCGAGAGAGCACCCGGGTTCCCACCTGGCTTTCCGCATCAGCTCCTGAAAGGCGGGGGAAGGAAATGAGCACCACCCAAGGTCATGGCTGGGAGAGGAAGACGCCAAAGGAAACAGAGATGCAGGCTTGCCGTGACCTAGCTCTTCACTTCATGCGTGTGGGAGAGAACTGTCTGGCAGCGATAGGAAGTTAGATGGCTCTGAGCTGAGGCGGAATGGCATCGCACCCCTGGACGCTGGCCAGCACGGAAATGAATGACGAAGGGACGGCAGAGACTTCACTTTTGGGTTCCCTTCTTCCTTTATTTCCTTCAGTCCTCCCTCCCTCTCCTCCTCTCTCTCCCCCGGGCCAAACGCGTCCTGCGACCTGTTCTTGGATGGCTTGCAAAGTAGGAACGGACTTACCATTTTTAAATGATTGAAAAGGAAACCAAAACTATATGACACTTTTTAGTGGCCATAAATAAAGCTTTATTGAAACACAGCTGCACCTACCCATTTACATGTTCTCGATGGCTACTTTTGTGCCGCCACAGCCGTGTTGCATAGCTGCCGTGTTGTATAGCTGCCGTGTTGTATAGTTGCAACAGAGTCCGCATGGCCCACAAAGCCTAAAATATTTACTATCTGGCCCTTGACAGAGAGAGTCTGCTGACCTCTGCACAAAAGTGAAAGAACAATTCTGCACAAATGCGGAAAAATGAGAGGGTCGCACGCTTCCTTCTCCAGTTGACCTAGTTAAATGGCCACGTGGCGCCCTTAGTTCTCTTCAGTTAGCCCCTCGGAGTCAGAATCAACTCCACTCCTGTGGCCTTGGCAAGACCACTTGCCCATCCTCCCCCTGAGGAGAGCGAGGCCCCGCCACGTCCTCAGCTTCCAGAGAGAGCAGATCAGAACGTCCTGTGGCCTCCATCTGTGTCCCAGTAAGAGCTTTCCTGGCCCTGAGTTGAGGGGCTGCTCCCTTCTGCACCAGCCTCTGGCTTGTTATGCTTTGGGGTCAACCCCAGAGATGTCAACCCCGGTCCAGGCGGGGAAGACGGGAGCTCTGAGCATGGGAGTCTGCAATGTGGCATTTCTCTCCTCGTCTCCAGGAACAGACTTGAAGCTGCCGACCCCCCTGAGACCTGTGTATCCACTGTTCCTCTCGAGTCCGAGCTCCAAAGCTGTGGGACGAAGCTGGCAACTGTCTCCTCCCGCGGCAAAGAGCTTCCAAATACACGACGTAAGTCTCCCAGGGGCCCCTCTCCTCCCTCGGCCCTGCAGGCTGAGAGGCGAGACTGTGCCCCACACAGGGGCGAGCTGAGCAAACGAGGTGCCCATGGTTTCTCTTGACCGTTGACCCCATCCCACCCCCATCACCTCCTGCCTCCACGTGAGGCCGGTGCAGAGAGAGAGATGAAGGCCTGAGCACAGGCCATACTGCATTGTGAATCTCATCAGGGTTCCCCAAAAGAAGAAAAGTCCTCAAAATCGGACAGTTTTCTGAGGCCCCAAATGGTCTCTTCCCCCACAGGGACCTCTGTTCTCCCTCAATTGCTGCTACATTTCCACTGAGTGAGAGGCGAGTCTTCGCCCCCTGCCTCACCCTCCGGTTCACAGGCTCATTTTGTTTTGTGTGAAAGAGGAGTTTTTGGAAAGCTCGGTGGTGATCTAATCCTCTCTCCCTGCTGTCGTACCATCCAAAAATGGCCTTCAATGGCTCCTCACGTGACAAACCTCTGTTGAGCACTTAGCATGTGACATGTCATCCATCCAAGGTGGTAAAACGCAGGCTCTGTTTTTGAGGACCCCGGGGTGTAGTTGGGACATAACTGGGTAGAGAGACCTTGCAGTAATTCAGGTGGGGGACACAGACCCTCGGGGGAGATGGTGTGGAAGCCCAGAGGAGCTAGCTCTGACTGGGGCCAGACCCTTCCTTGGAAGCCAACATCAAAATTCTGAAAGGAGAGTAGGGGAGGCAGGAGAGGAACAGAGGGGGGCTGATCTGGCAGGAAAGGAGGTGCATGCAGGTTTTGGCTCCTCTGGAAAATGTCATGATGGTGATGATGGCCTTCCTAACAGAGGCGCCATGACAGGTCGGGGAAGGAGCAGACAGAAGGGCCCAGGGGTGGAGGACTCTCTCATCTTTCACGGGATACAGCTCTGCTCTCAGTCGGCTCCAGCCGATCCAGAGTGATGGGGCTGGTCTGGCCCTTTAAGGTCCACGGGCACCTGTCTGTCTGTCCTCAAGGTGGACTCTGGAGCCGCCTTCCTGGGAACAGAGTCACCCCCTGAAGCCACGCATGTGAATTTAAACTGGAGGCAAGAGAAGGTGACAGAGGGAAGTCCTCTCACCTGCTGGGTCTCACTGTTTCCGTTTGGGATGTGGGATGTTGACCTCTAATGTCCCTAGGGGCCTCCGATGTCAGCTCCTGCCCCCGCTGCCTCCAGAGCCGCCATCGCAGCGCCCCCCTGCGCAGTGCTGGAAGAAATAAACCAACACATTCGTTTCCTGCTGTGTGGGAGGCAGGAAAAGGTCCAACCCCCTAATTGGGATGAGGTTCCTGCGGTGTGTCCAGCCGCCCACTCCTCAGCACACCCCCACTCCCCAGGTGTCTCAGCGAGAAAGGTGGGTGCACCGGCCATCAGAAGCCAGGCTGCATCTACCACCACCACCTTGCCAACCATTTCCCTGCCTCTGTGGGGCGTAAAAGAATTAATATGTAGACCTTCCCTGGAAGGTCTGTTCAGTGGTTAGAGCATTGGCCCGAGGACCAAAGGTTTGAGGGTCCGAGTCCTAGTTCAGGACATGTATCTTGTTTGTTAGTTCGTCCCCAGGGTCGGTCAGGGCACGTGCAGGAGGCAACCAGTCCATGTGTCTCACACATCGATGTTTCTCTCTCTATCTCTCACCCTCCTCCCTCCCACTCGCTTTCTAAAGATCAATGTAAAAAATATCCTTGGGTGAGGACTGAAAAAAAGAATCAATACATAGAGAGAGGCAGTATTTGCTGCGCCTCCTCTGCACCCAAGGGGGAGCCGAGCATGTCCGGGGTGGGCCCTGGGGCCAAGAATCAGGCTGGACCTCCCTCACCCTCTGGCCACACACGCAGAGCAAGAAGGCCCCAGCTCTTCTCAAGAAACTGATGGACAGTTTGCAGGATTCCATTGTTAGTCCAGAGAGGCGAGGCCAGAGGAGAGAGGGCAGGCGAGGGTGAGGTGGCCGGGGACCGGGGAAACCAGTTGAGAACAAGCATCAGAGCAGCTGTGGGCAACCAGCAGGCGGTGCCTTCGGTAGAGAGCAGGGACGGTGCTGGGCAAGGAAGCTCCCTGGCTTGGGCGGTCCACTGGGCACCCTGTGTAGTGTCTCTCCAAGTGGAATGCAAACGGGGCTCCTTTGCTCCTCAGTTTCTAATAGAAGTGAGATTAGAATCCCAAGAGGGGACCCTGCAGCACACAATCACACGTCGGAGCCTGCCTCCGGCCTCCAGCAAGGATGGCCGTCGGTTGATGGCGTTCTTGGCAGCCAGAGTCCCAGGAACCATGCCATTTCGAGGCTGGAAACGACCTCAGCCACTGAACCACCATAGAGGTGGGTGGTGCGTCGAGGTCCTCCAGTGAGTGGTGCAGTCAGAATAGAACTCAGTGCCCTGACCCCCAGTCTGCTGTGCAGACCCAGCAACTCATGGAGCGGACGGCCCTTTTCTCTGCCTCCCAAGGCTGTAGACCATTAAGAAAGGCAAATGGCGGTCCGCCTAGTGCAGGAGCGGCGTGAGGAAGTGCCTGTTTTAAGCAGTACACCCTGACTTGTGGGAGCTGGTGGGACGCGCTCTCTGGGCTCCTCACCGCAGGTGCCCGTGGCCTGTCCCCCCCAGCAGGGCCCTTTCCGGGACCTCCTGGACATGAAGACGGAGAAGAGACTGGCCGGCTGGAAGGAGCGTCGCAGTCGCTACGGGGACATCAACATGCACAAGTACTACCAGCTCGGGCAGGTCTTCGCCCCTTTCCGGGCCCTCGCCACCATGGTAAGCTCGCTTTTCTTCTGGGAAGGGTTTCGAAGTCCTTTGATGAGACCGGTGACAAATGTCAAATCTTTCCCCTTTTGTGGGCTGGATGAGTCCGTTCCGGCCACGCAAATGCTGCACAACCAACCTCCCCCAAACTCAGCGGCTTGCCCTCCCAGGCATCTGTGCTTCTCACTCGCTCTTCTGCAGAGAAATAGCTCATTCCGCTTCTGTTTACTGCGAGCTCCCAGGGCAGGAGGGAGCAGGGAATCGGGAACAATAACCTCACTGGCCACAAGAGCCTAACTCCAGCCACCTCAAGGTCGGTGGCCTGCGGTGGAGGGAGGTCTGAAGGCAGCTGTGATGTTCAGAAATACCCATTTCAAGGGGAGGAAAAGTCTGGGGAAAGGAGAAGATTCTGTGATGATGAAAGACGGTTTCGTTCCCATCCCTTTATCTCATCTGTTACCTTCTGGGCCCAAGTCAATTCAAGTGGGACCATTCCCAAAGGCATTTCCTTGGAAGTATTGTTCTAGCTGTGCATATGTTCTAGCTGTGCATATGTTTTAGCTGTGCATATGTTCTAGCTGTGTATATGTTCTAGCTGTGTATATGTTCTAGCTGTACATATGTTCTAGCTGTGCATATGTGTTAGCCATACATATACTCTAGCTGTACATATATTCTAGCTATACATTCTTGGGATTCTAAAATCTGGGTGTGCAAATGAATCACTGGGGAAGCTTGGTCCCAACATAGGGCCCCAGTTTGGAGGGTCTTGGGTGATGCCTTGGAACTTTCTTTTTTAACATAGTCTCTTGTCACCGCCTTTATGGAACATGACTCAGTCAGTGCTTCCCAACCCTGTTCACGCCATCAGCACCCCGAAGTCTGAAGGGGGCCATTGTTCAGGCCGCCTGTAACTCACTCACAGCTCCAGTGCACACAGGAACCCAGGCAGTTAATCTTCACCCCCAAGCCAATCAGATCAGAAAATCTGGGGGCAGGTCCCAGGCATCAGCATGTTTTAAAGCCTCTTGATTCGATGACCAACCCGCCCAGTTTTCCCAGGACTGACTCTCACACTTTTCTCGGGATTTCCCATCTTTTGCCACTAAAAGTCCTGAGTCCCAGGAAACCCCTCAATTTTTGTTTTAAAACTGAAAGTCTCGAGTCCTTGGAATTTGTACAAACCAGACGGTGGGTCACTCTATCCAGGCATGATTTTAATGCATAGCCAAGTTTCGAAGGACTGCTCTCTGAACATTCTAGAAATTAGCCCCAATTCCTCATGTCACAGTTGCTGCCCATCTATCCATTCACTAACCAACATCCCTTAGGCATGTACACAGCCCGGAGCTGAGAACTTTGGAGGACCCAGCAATGAAAATCTCAGTCCTACCCCCAAGGAGCTTCTAGTCTACTAGGGATACCGAGTCATGAGCCAAAACCATGCTGCAGACACAAGTATGATGCCACAGTAATAAGAACAGCTCCATAAATGGATAGACCCAGAAGGAGACAAGAGGTCTCCAAATATGAGCTGCTTTCTGCTAAATCCAACCCCCAAGGTCATGATGAAGAGCAAAGCCTACACATAGGGACACCCTCTTGACTCACAGTGTCACCCGGAAAGAGCAGATCGGCCATGTATTGGGAGCAATCGTCCCCATGTATTGAGTTCTTACTATGTGCCAGGTATAGTGCTAAAGACTTCCCAGGCCCTGATTCTTGGGATCTCTACCCCATTCACATCATCTTATCAATGAGGAAGCAAAAGACGAGGCGTGTTAAGTAACTTGCCAGCCAGTGGCGGAGCCCGGATGAGCCTGCCGTGCTGGAACAGGTGCCCCCGACCTCCACGCGTTATCTCATTGCCGTTATTCTCTGCCTCGTAGGAGATGCGAAGGCTGGTATTTCCCCAACACCTGCCCATGAGTCTGCACATGCACAAAATGGGCATTTCGTGCACCGACGAAAGGACTCTCCGAGACTTACCTTTGTCTTCCACAGAGCTGGGCTTGGGAATGGATGACAACACCCATGAGAAAGAGAAAGCAGCGAGCCATGTTAGAATGCCTTTTTTCCCCCCAATAGTTAAAGCGGTAAAATTTAAAAACGTGAAAAAATAAAAATTACATAACTCCTTTCCGGCCCTTTGCTGCAAGGCTTTGCATTAAAATGCTTAAATCCCAGGGATTTGGGAATGCTAAAACATTCACACACCTGACATGTGGGTAAGTTGAGGAGCTCCGCCAGCATGCCTCTGTGTGGACATTTGGAGGAGGGTAGAACCATTAGGAGCTGTAATACTCAGCTAGAATGGAGTCTTCGGTAAGTACACTCTTCTCAAAAGTCTAAAGGTAGGGGGAGGGGATGGTTACAGTTCAATAAGTCAAGGACCCCACTTTTTCCATCTTTCTGGTCTACCATCCCCAGCGTGTTGGATGATAACCTCCGGATTTGTTCCTCAAGGCCACAAAATGGTTGCCACTGTGCCAAACACCACATCCTCACATGTGTGCGTGTACACACACACACACACACACACACACACACACAGATGGAGAACCTCTTCCAAGAACCACTCAACAGATTTCTTGGCAGTGCTCCTTGGCCAGGATGGTAAGGCTTGCCCAGGCCGTAACGCCAAAGGAAGCTGGGAAGGTAAATATTGGGTATTTACAGGGAGGCAAGTTCTAGCACCAGGAAAGGAAAGTCGGACAATGTCTGGTGGGAAAGTAATTCAGATCTGCCACAGAGGGACACTGGGTGGATGGTCGTGTGGTTTGCTAGACTAGGATTATTCTTCTGGGCTGGGCTGGAGGCGTATATACCACCGTCTCTATGCAAACCTCAACTCCAAGTTGCAAGACACAGACCTAGCAACAAACTACTGGAACTGGGCTCATGGAGAACTTGCAAACAGCCTGCACTTTTATCATTTGTTTGACATCAGGTATTTTCAAATGAGGCTTGTTCTTTCTAGAAGCACATCTGGGTCTCAGACCTTCCATATCCTTAAGAAGCAAAACCAAACAGACCTCCCCCCCTTCCACCCCCCCGTTTTATTGTGCCTTGTTCCTGTTTCTTGCTGACTAGAACTGAATGTTGCCATACGCTCCGAAAATGCCCAGTGTTGGCATGTTGTTGTTTTTTAATTTAGTTTTATCTGGTCAGGGCACAGAGCCTTCAGCTAAGGAACCCTGTAATCTGTCCCTCATGAAGAACCATATAATTGAGCAATTGCCGTAATCGCTGAGGGCTGCTGTGTGGACAGTAAGCTTTGGGGTATTTCCCAATATTTTTTCTGGAAATGCCAGGAAAGGGAGGGCTCGTGTGGAGCCTTGGGCCCCGGTGTCCTTCCTCCAGGAGTAATGAAGGTGAGGACAGGGGCCTCGGTAAGCCGAGTGGATCCTGCACCCAGCTTGGCAGCATTTCCCAGGCTGATCTGGTGTTTTCAAATATATTTTTATTGATTTCAGAGAGGAAGGGAGAGGGAGAGAGAGATAGAATCACCAATGATGAGAGAATCATTGATAGGTTGCCTCCTGTATGGGGATCGAGCCTGAAACCCAGGCATGTGCCCTGACCAGAATCAAACCATGACCTCCTGGTTCATATGTCAACGCTCAACCACCAAACCATGCCCGCTGGGCTGGAACTGGACATCTTGGGATCTATCTTCACATCCCTCTTCACATCCCTTCACATCCCTTCCTTCTGTGTGTGTGTCCCACCCATTGCCCCTACCTTCTAAGCAGCTTTCATACTAATTATGTCCATCCTCTCCATCCGCCCTCCACGATTAGCCTCACCCTTCACTAGCTCTTCTCTACATTTACAATAGCCTCAGAACCATTCTCCTGGTCAGAAAGGTTTTTCCGAAGCACAAACATGGTTGTCTCTCCACACCTTGAATGGCTCCCTGTTGTCCCTGTAAGAGCCCAAGTCCTTAGCCCGTCGCACAGGGCCCTGCTTCACCTGTTGCAGCCTCATCCCCTGTTCCTCCCATGCACCCTCTTCCAACTCCCCAGCCTCACATCCATGCTCTTCCCCTCTTTACCACCGGCTGTCCCGGATTCTTACACTCTTACCTCTGCATCCAGTATTCCCCCTGCTGTGGCCGTCCTTCCTCTCCTCACTTCCTGGGGGACTCCTACGTACCCCCAGGAGTCAACTGGAAAGGCACCTTCTCTGTGAAGCCAACCCCCCACCCCCCAGGCAGGGTTAGTGCCCTCTATTTGGCTCCACTGTTATAATGTTCATCGCAATGAGTTGTGGTTGTCTGTTGTCTGTCTCGAGGGCTCTGCTTCCCTGAAGAGCAGTAATTATATGCATTATTCACCACTGTATTCCCCCATGCCCAGGCCAATGCCTGGCACTTAATGGCTACGCATTAAATGTCTGGCAAAGAAGTGGATGCGGGGGAAAAACTGCACGACAGCCAGGCCTTGGAAGATGGAGTGTGGTTTTGCACTAATGTGACAGCTGTTACTACAGATGCTAACGAGGGAGCACAAGGTGACTCAGAGGTGAGTGTGCCTGTGACCCAGGGCAAGTGAGATGCCTGAAAGCGCCAAGAGCCAAAAAGGATGCCGGCAGACTCCCCTGCCATCGGCAGGCCTTCCCTTAGGCAGCGCTGTGTGTGTTGTGTAATTGAGGCAGTTCTGCCCACCTTGTAAGTCACAGTGTGAGAATGGCCATGTTGCAGCAGGGAATGAACCGGGGAGGGCTTTGCATGGGGACCTTCCCCTGCCAGGCCGGGCAGATCATTTCCCAGGTCGCATTCTATCGTAACAGGAATATAGTGCACACCTACTGCGTGCTTGGCTTTTTGCTCTGCACACTCATGAAATTTTATTTTAAGTATTTGATGTTCTCTCTCCACTCAGGAGATTGCAGTCTCACTGGAAAAGCTGCTATATACACATGGACTTATTAGAAGTCACAAAGCCATATGAGATCCATGTTAGATTGTAAGAAACTAGCTGGGAGCCCTGGCTGGGTAGCTCAGTTGGTTAGACTGTTGTCAGGATACACCAAGGTTGTGGGTTCGATGCCAGGTCAGGGCACACATAAGAATCAACTAATGAATGCATAAATAAGTGGAATAAAAAATTGATCTTTCTTTCTCTCTCTCTCTCTCCAATAAATATATTAAAAAATTAGCTGGGAGTGAAAAGGCACCTACTGAATGGATGGATGGATGGATGGATGGATAGATGTAAAAAATTAGCTGGGGGTAAAAAGGCACCTAGGGAATGGATGGATGGATGGATAGATGGCTATGGATAGATGGGTGGATGAATATGGATGGGTGGATAAATAGATGAATTGGATGGATGAACAGACAGAAAACTAAATATTCTCTCAACTTGTAATTGCTTTCATCTAATCGGATACATGAAAAAATTATAATGCTTCAAGGTGCCAATCTTTCAACACTCCAAGTAGCACAATGATTTAGCCCAACTTAAAACACTCACTATTACTTTAAGGCATGATACTGATGAATGAGAGGTGAGAGTTTTTGGAAGGTCGCAGGTATCGGCATGTTTTGGCCCCAGATGACACCTCCTTCGCCTGCATAAAGTGCTAGTCCTGGCAGGAAGCCCTCCCAGCAACTCCTCACCACTTAGGACTGAAAATAAGAGGCAAACAGGAAACCGTGTTTATTTTTTGCCAGGAGTCAGCCAAACTCCCACACCTGTGCTGTGCATTTCCTGTTGGGTGTTGTTGTTAAGTCCAGTGAGAGAATGATGCTCCCCTCCCCGCTTTGTCCCAGGAGGCTATCGTACTGTCACCCTGCTGGATATGGAGTGTGTGAAAGGTTAGGGGGCACAGCGAGGGGCAGGGGCAGGAAACAGTGTCCACCCTCCACCCAGGATTCCTCAGGACGGTCGTGTTGAAACTCTCCCTAACTCGAAGCCATGTAGCTCTTTGGCAATGGCCACGCTGGTAGGGACAAGGCAGCATGTGGTGGAAAGCCCTAATAGAACGTGACTGAGTCACCGGGTAGACCAAGCTGCTGCTGGAAATTGTTCTGTAGTAAAATGACTTGGAAGAAAACAATAGAGCCCTTAAGACCATGGGACGCGCTCCTTGTTCCTGAGCCTCGCTCACAGGCTGCTCACGTCCACCTTCCAAAGTTTATGCTGCCCATGAGTCCTCCCGTCAGTTTTCTTTATTCCACTGAGACTCCTCGAGAGAAGTGGAAGCGTGAGTACCTGATCTAATTTAGACTGTTCTCTTAACTTCCTTTAAATTACTGTTATCATGGCCAGTCTTCCATGATGATGCACCTTGGGAGGCCAAGATGTCTCTGAGGTGCAGGCCCTTAATGAGGATCTTAGTCCGAGAGATGTAATTGATGAGTCTGGCATTCACCAGCTCAGCTGGGCCTTGTCCCCGCTTGCCCTGAGCTCCCCCCGCCCCGTCGGAAGCACTCTGCTTGGCTCTTTTCCGCTTTCTCGTGGCCAGGGCACCTGACTGTGTCTGTCTGCTTGGATCCGCCTGTCTATTCTTCACGGAACAACCACATCCCCATCGGACACTAACAGGCAGACTGGAGAAATGCCCGAGAGGAAGTCCCAGCGGAAGTATGTCACAGATCAGTATGTCGTAAAGGTTGAATAAGAAGTAGTGGAGTTTGCCTGGGATTAAAGGGAAGTCGAGGTGAGATGGTTTAGTAACATTTAAAAACACAGAAGTGGGGAAGGGTGAGTGGAGGGCATAGTCTTCTCTCATTTATCCATCTCCTATTCTTACCGCTCTCCTGTCCAGGGATTAAAATACACATAAATATTTGGGCCCTTGTGTTGGCTTCGGCAGCACATATACTAAATTGGAACGATACAGAGAAGAGAGATTTGCATGGCCCCTGTGTAAGGCTGTCCAGCAAATCCTGTGACGCGCTCCACATTTTGAAGAAAAAAAGAAAATATTTGGGCCCTAGCTGGTTTGGCTCAGTGGATAGAGCGTTGGCCTGCCGGTTGCGGTTCGATTCTGTTCAAGGGCACATGCCCAGGTTGTGGGCTCGATCACCAATAGGGGGCGTGCAGGAGGCAGCCGATCAACGATTCTCTCTCATCATTGATGTTTCTATCTTTCCCTCTCCCTTCCTCTCTGAAATCAATAAAAATATATTTTAAAAAAATACACATAAATATTTGGTTACTCAAGGTTATGTTCACCCCCAAACAAAACCTCCTCTCGGGAGTGCCTTGCTGCTTGCCCTTTGGCCCCCTAGATGCTGCCCTCATATCTCCAACCAAAGGAAATGCTGAAGGGAAGACAATGACAGGCAGGCCTTGAACCGTAACTACTGTTTCCTTAGGCCGGATGGGTCTGTCCTTAATTCCACGTCCTACTAATTGGTAGGTCACTGCTGTTATGAACTCGCTGGCATTTGGGCCTGGTCTGGTCTTGATTTAAGAGTAGGAAATAAGACAGAAATCCTTATGGGCAAAGATAATTGCAATGGGACATGTTTTTCCTAACCAGAGTCCCTTCCTCATGGCCACTGGGTTCAAGGGGACTGTATCTTGCCAGGCTCTGCCCCAGATGCCTCCCCAGATGGGGCATCTGGGTCCTTGCCTTCTCAGAACCTAATCTTTGAGTTTCTCTTCTTCCACCTTCCACTAGGTATTTCCTGAGGGTTAAAAGAAGTTTTCCTTTAGGATAACAAATTGAAATTGTCCAGCCCTAGCTGGTTTGGCTCCATGGATAGAGCATTGGCCTGGGTTTGGGATTTGGGCTCAGTCCCCAGTAGGAGGCAAGCAGGAGGCAGCCAATTAATGACTCCCTCTCATCATTGATGTTTTTTTCTCTCTCTCACTTTCCCTTCTTCTCTGAAATAAATTTTAAAAAATATATGAAATTGTCCAGATAAAGGTCTTTGTGCTTGTGCACCCGAGGTCTAACGTTCAGTGTATAAATTGACGAATGAATGGGGCTGTTATTTCTACATAGTTACGTTGTGAACCGGCCTGAGGGTCGTGCACGCCATGTACGTTCTTTTTGACAGTGATGGTAGCTGCTGGGACAGTTAGAGCAGGGAAAGTTCAGCTATTCTCTCCTAACCTTCCTGGCAGGTTATTAGGAAAGAAAATCTCAGACCGAACTCTTCCTCTTGCACACACATTTATTCAACAAACATTTATTGGCAAGCAGACACAGACAGTGCAGGGACTGCTTCTGTAGATTCAAACCAAGTCCCAGTTCGCTGCCTTTTAGAAGCTCTGAACACCGCCTTCATTGGAAAGGCTACGTCAAGACAAACACAGCGACGTTCCAGACGCAGGATTCAGTTACTCTCAGTTGGATCCAGGCGACCACATGTTCCCAGGTTAGAGGCTGAACACAGGCTTAGTCAC